ATAATTTACTTCCAGCCAATGTGTCTAATGTGTCATCGATCCGAGGCAGAGGATAACTATCTTTCTTGGTAACGTTGTTCAGCAAACGGTAATCCACACAGAACCTCGTTGTTCCGTCTTTCTTCTTAACCAGGACCACCGGAGAGACCCATGGGCTCGTAGAAGGTTCTATTACCCCGTCTTTCTTCATTTCCTGAACAATCGTTTCAGCTTCCTCTCTTTTCGCCTGTGGTAATCGTCGAGCTGTTTGACGAATTGGCTTCGCATTACCAGTATCAATTCTATGCTTAACAACGGTAGTTCTTCCCGTCTTTCCCTCCTTTCGGTACGAAAATATCACGATACTGCCGAAGAAATTCCCTTAATTTCCTTTTCTCAATCTGATTCAGAGACTGTCCAGCAACTGCAACCATTTGATCAAATTTGTCGTTGGAATTATCAGACGTTGTCGTCTGACGGATTATGGATGTAACAGGTACACAAGTTCCTACTTTTGTCTCTTTCTTGATGGTCACTGGGTAGTCATTGACATTAATAAGTCTCACAGAATTTTCTTTAGCCGAAGTCACCAATTCCTTTCCAATTATGATTCCACGGCCAACTTCGTCGTCATGATTCCAAGGCTCCATCATAACAGGTGTTCCTTCGTCCACAATTCCCTGTAGCCGCGCTACTATTATCGTTTCACTTCTCGCAGGCACGATTGTATCTTCTTTAACGGCTGCTTGCATAGTGTTGTCATCATGTGGATGGAGAAATACCTCCTCGTTACCAACTTTGATTACCTTATTCTTAAAATCCAATTGGAATCCATGCGTATTCATTACGTCCATTCCTAATATAACATCCTCTTCGATGTCAGCAACTATAACAGTATGGACGAACTTTTCTGCTCCAATTCCTAATTGTATCTGGATTTCTCCGTGAATGTTGGCATTTTCACCTGTAGCGGTACGAAGTCGCAACCTCGTTGGTAACAGTTTCTTACGGCTGATTTATAACTGTCGGGCGAATAATGGTTCTTGTCGCTCCGGTATCCACCAACAACGTATGCTTTTTACCATTTATTTCTCCATCTACATATACACTATCTTCAAGACATTTCAAAGAAGCTATCAGTATGAGAGGTCTTTGGAAAAGTTCTGGGTCGAAGCTGCCCCCCTAAGGCCGACCCGTTCTAGTTTTCCTGATGGTGAGTTTCTTGATTTGCGTCGTACCTAGGATGCTTACAAGAACTTCGTACGTGTCCTATTTCGCCACAATTCCAGCATCTTATGGTCTTCGGTTTCTTGTATGTCATGCTTTTCATCATATTAACGAGTTGGTCAAGTTTATCTTCATCTTCTTCCTCTTTTACAGTCCTAACTTTACTGTACCCGCCAGAGGCCTGCGTGGCTGACTCGTATTCAAGAGCGGCGGATAAGACATCAACCAGCGTCTTGTGACGAGCTAATCGTAGTGTTCTTTGCATCTCATGATCACGAAGACCATCAATAAACGTTTGAACGGCCAACTTTTCCATCATGTCTTCGGGAGCTGTTGGATAAGCATATCGCACTAATCTGGCGATATCTACTTCATATTCTTGAAGAGCCTCATCTTTCTTTTGTCTTCGATTTTTGAGCTGCGACTGATATACATGCTCCAAGTGTTCGTGGCCATATCGCATATTTAACCTCTTCTTCAGTTGTTCGAAATCATCCGTCTCCTCTACGGCTATGGTCTGGAGCACATCTAAGGCATCTCCTCGAAGAGCGATAGTCAGGTTTACAGCCTTTTCTTTTTCAGACCATCCATTCGCTCTTGCAGCTGATTCGAACTGTTTCATGTAGTTGTTCCATGATGATTTTCCGTCGAAAGTTGGGACTTTGACATGAACGGAACTTCCACTTCCTTCACATTTCGGCCGTGTTTCCAACTTACATTTCGTCTCGTCTTCTTTTGTCTCTATGGTAATTGGATTGTTTACTCTCTCTGTTGTTCCTGTTCCCTCAATCTTCCTTTCCAACTCTTTCCATATCTTCTCTTCGAAGGCCATCATATCGGCAGCAACTTGGTTTTTTAATGAAGACACTCTATCGTCGAGAGCAGACATCTCCGAAGTGACTTTAGAGATTTCCAAGGAGATGTTAGCAGAGACTTTGCTTTCTAGAGAAGAAATCTCGTTAGACACTTTGTCTTCTAAAGAGGCGATGTCGCCGCAAACTTTGGCTACATCAGAGGAAACTTTCGAAATATCGCCATGAACTCTGTTCTCTAATGATGCGATGTCACCAGAAACTTTATTCTCTAATTTTGAAATTGACACGATGACAGCATCTTCAAATATATAAGTTTCCGGATCTAAACCCTCTTCCTCCAAAGCATTCTTTAGTCGTTGGACTAACTCAGAGCCTTTTTTCCGGTAGAAGCTAATTCTCTATCCTCAAGATGCCTTCTTAGATTCGTAACTGTGAGCTCGTAAATCGTAGCCATCGTTCACCAATTTCACTTCTTTTCAAAAATTCAAATTAAATTTATCTACAACCCCACTTCTGCACCACTGTGAAGTTTATATAGTTCTAATTTATATGTCTTTATTCTAATTTATTGTCTATAATCTAATTTATTAAAACTCACGATAACTAATTACGAATTTATTAAAGTCTTTATTAATTCTAATTTATATTACAAATAATAATTTATGTTTCGTTACATTTAAATATCGCGGTTGCCGAACTTCTTATGACTGGCTCCTCAATGAAATTATTCCCTTATGTATATAATTCCAAGCCGGTAAACAGAAAGGTTGTAGAGAATACCATGCTGTTCTCGATGTAGACACAGCGGCGACTGGTCTCAAAACATGTTTTTTTTATCGGCTTGTCGCCCCCAGAACATTCGATTCAGGTAGATTTTTGACCTAGAAATTACGAGAATCAATAAAAGAATTAGTCATAAAATATTTACAGTTCTATATGCCATAACATTTAAAATCGTAACAATAATTACATAGTTAAAACCAAGGTTAAGACAAATTTGAATAATACGTGGTTTTGCTAAGTAAACTTGACATAATTCTTTGCTTTGTTCTACCGTAAATGATTTTGTGTTATTATTGTACCAAAAGTACAAGGGATTAGACAAAAATCTTTAACCTCGTTTTTCTCAAAACTCGCTATAGTGGAGATACGGGGTTCTTTCTTAATAGGGCAGTATACTTCAATACTTCATACGTGACTGTGACTTGTCATAGTCGCACATTGACTAGTTGCACATTTTAAACACAGTGTAGTGGCAACAACTGAATTAAAAAAGAATCAAGAATTATTAGGAAAGCCAATTCTTAAGGTTAAGCAGGATGTAAGCACTAGATGGAATTCTACTTTAATTATGCTAGCTAGACTTCAAGAAATAAAGGATTCCCTTTCGCTTACAGTTCTTAACCTTGACAAGTGTCCCAAAACTTTTGATTCTGAAGAGTGGGCACTTATCTCAGACTGCGTAATTTATTAAAACCACTGGAAATAATGACTGCTGAAGTATCTGGAGAAAAATATCCGACAATGTCAATCATCATTCCTTTAATACGTGGTTTACAGTTGGCCATAAAATCGGTATCCACCATAACTGTATCAGGACTGCTCCTTTAAAAAACCCTGATGGATACAATCACACGAAGATTGGGTGGTTTTGAAACTAATAAAATTTCCTCTAAAGCAACATTTCTTGATCCTCGGTTCAAAACATATGCTTTTGGAAATGCAACCTAATTGATGTTGAAAAATTAGGTACTATTACTACTCCAGTAACAGATACTGCGACTATAGAGCAAGAAGTAAGTAAACCAGAAACTATATCACTCTGGGCTGATTTGGATAGAAAATTAGCAAATAAAGTAGCTACAATAACATCATCAACTGGTGCAGCACTTATAATTAGGCAATACTTAGAAATGCCTCCCTTACCTAGAAAAGATCCTTTAGAATTCTGGGATAAACACAAATTTACATTCCCAGAATTGTATAAACTTCACCTTAAATATCTTGGATGTCCTGCCACATCAGTTCCGTCAGAACGAGTTTTTTCCAAGGCAGGCCAACTTACTAACTTGCGGAGAAACAGGCTAGCTTCAAAAAAATTGGATACACTCATATTTCTAAATAGCTACTTTGGAAACAAATATTAAATATCGAAACTTTATACAATGATTTATTTGGAATAATAAGTTTATTTATTGTAATTATTTTTCAGTGTATTTTTTTGGATTTTAATAAATGTTTACACCTTTATTTAAATGTACTATTTAGTTCAAAATAAAATGTTAATTTTGAACAAAATAATTTGTTGAAAGTACTTATTTTCCAACAATACATATTTTTCTCTACACTAATATTCCCTTAAAATCATATATTACTTCCTAACAGTCGATTTCACACTCCCTACAATAATGTTTCATTCAGTCAATCACTTGCTAAATCGTTCCCTTCATTAGACATCTGTACCTGTGTTCATCATGTGTTCATCTGAACCGAATTCCGAACGTTTTATATACAGTGATATCATACACTCATAAGGTTTGTTCGTACAGACAAATTTCCAACCGGTTGGCAATTACACACTGCGCAGGTATGATTGGAAACTGTAAGAAACTAGTTGCAAATTTGGATGCTCTGCGAACGGATAATTTGGTCTGTCAATTCTTGTCAAAATTGACAGAAGCCAAACAGTGTTCGACAAATGTCAATATAGAAAAGTTATAACAAAATAGACGCTAGACGTATTATTGATTATTAAACAAACGATTCTTTACTTATGTATTTTGAAAAATGGACGAAATCCAACAATTTGTAATTCTTCCTACTGATCATGATTAACCACGGGCCATTGAAGGAAATATTTCAGAGAGTGAAGATGTAAAAAATTTTATGTGGACAACAAACTCCACTCTGTTACTCCTAGAGATGTACAAAGAGTTCAGAAATTTAGTGGGTACAGTAAAAGTAAAAAATTGCAAAAAAATGTGGCGATTAATTGCAAACAAATTAAAAGAAAATTTTGGCATATCCACTTCTCCCTCTCAATGTGAGAATAGGTGGAGAGTAGTTGAACGAAATTATAAGAAGTTTGTGGATAATAAGAACCAGACAGGAGCAGGCCGGAGAGAGTTCGAGTATTTGGGACCGATGGAAGAGATTTTGGGTAAAAAAAAAATATTTCACCTACAGTTTTGTTGTCGACTTCAACAAAATCAAATATTTTAAATCCTGTTTTATCAGAAGAATCGCAATCAACGGAGCCTGTAATAGAACCCATGGTAGTGGAAACTGAAAATGCTGGTCCTTCTAAGATCCAAAGAAAACTAAAAGTAGTTACCAGAAACAGGAAAAGTGCTGGGAAAAATAGTGAAATATTAGAGATGATAAGAAAAGAAAAACAACAAAGGCATAAAGAAAAATTAAATTTTGAAAAGGAGAAATTTGAGAAATTATATCAATTAGAAATTAAGAAACAAGAGGCAAAAGAAAAAAGAAATATTTTAATACAAGGACAAATAAAAGTACAAAAAGGGACAACCAGCTTTTAATTGAAATTTTAAATAAAAGACTAGTGTAAATATTATTTATAATTTATATCTTTGAACTGTGTATAAATGTTAGTATAAGTTTTGTTTGGAAACAGGAATTTTATTTTTAATATAATTTTTTTTCACTTTGGTGTACTTCCTTTACTTTAACATGTTTTTATTCTATTTTTTTTTGTTAATAAACTAATAATTCATTATTTCAAATTTTTATTGAGGCATATTTTATTGGTTGATTTATCAAAATCAAACATTGATTAAGATGCAAATGTTGACATTTCAGTTTAACAAATACAATGTTTCAGGTGTAATTTATTCTGAATGAAAACAAATTTTTATATGTTATACATTTTTATTAAATTAATAGAAAAAGATAAAGCAATATTAGTTAAAGCAAGAGACAACAATTTTATTAGGCAATCCAAAGGAAAAAGAAAGCATTTATTATTTCAATTCTAAAATTTTAGGATATGTATGTAATGTAATAACCTCTACTCATATGACTATTATAGTATAGGTATAATCTTACCAAGGCAATATATTTTTTAATGTTTTGATAACAGAGACTGTAATTCTAGAATCTGTTTATATAAACATGTCTTTAACTAAAATTATATTATATTTTGTAATCCAATATTTATACTTGTTTACAATTTGGAGAACCTATATAGATATATTTACATAATTTTGGTTATTATATTACAACACTAATCTCAGTTGATAGTAATAAAAAATTTAAGAAGGAAATCTTACTAAGAGAAATGATTTTATATACAATATTGCAAAAATTTTACTACTTTGGCTTATAAATAAATAGTAAAATATACAATGATGTACATGGTTGTCAAAATAGTATTACAAAAAGCCTGTCAAAATCAGGGTGTTGAAAGTAAAAGTGTAAATAAATAATGTAATAAGAGCAAAAAGCCCAAGGAAAAAAGTAGTGAATAATGTCATATAAAGAGGGTAAAACCCAATGACAGTAAAACCAATGAGTTCATAAAAGGTTTTTGATCACAAATGCCAAATGTCGCTGTCAATAACAATTTGAACTAATTTTGAAGATATCAGATCTACTATTTCGTTTTACCTTAGTGTTTTATGGTTATACCCAGAATAACTATTCCGCTGTCGATTTCACAATATAGAACCCTTGAAAGGTTATACTTGGAATAAACTCAAGTATAAGTTATACTCAGAATAACTATTCTCCAATTTATACCTGGATTGTAGAACCGGCCCTAAAACATCGAAAGCGTGAAAAGCTTTATATATCTAGGTTCACTAGTCACCATAGATAACAATATCAGTGAAGAAGTTAAGAGAAGAAAACATATCGCTAATAAAACCTATAATGGACTAATTAAACATCTAAGATCTAACACCACAAGAAAAACTGAATGCAAAATATACAAGACCCTGATAAAACCAGTCCTTGTATATGGATCAGAGATGTGGACACTCATTTGAATGAAAAATCCTCAGACATATATAACGGGGTAAAGCAAAATGACATATGGCGCAGAAGATATAACTTTGAACTATACACAGCAAACAATGAATCCGAGATCATAACATCCATAAAGATCAGATGTCTGCGATGGATGAGCCATGTTGAACAAATGTTGGAGACTAAAACGCCAAAACATATAATGAGGCAAACACCAGTAAGGAGAAGGTCAAAGGGAAGACCCAAACTTACAAACATGGAACAAGATCTGGAAACACTTATGATTACCAACAGGAAAAACAAAACAAAGAACAGAACAGAATGGAGGAAAATCCTAGAACAAGACAGGACCCAGAAAGGGTTGTCGAGCTACTAATGATGATGAATATTAGTTAAACGGTAGAATGTTTACAATTTCATTTCTCCTTTCAAAACCTTCTCTACGTTCAACATTTTCTGCTGGTCTTATATAATCCATGCCTTCCACATAATCTTCAACAACAGCTGCATCGTCTGGAGCATCTTGATTTCGGTCTGGAAAATCATCTTCTAGCCCCAGATTGTGTAATACACAGCAAGCTCTAATAAAATTGGCAATATCATGATCATCCCTTAATTTTAAGTGATATAACTGGCGAAATTTTTGTTTCATGACTCCCAAGCAGTGTTCAACTACAATACGAGTTTTTGATAAGCGATAGTTGTAATTGTGTTGTCTTGCAGTTAGATTACCTAAATCTTTAAATGGAGTTGGTAAATTTTTTTTACACGGATAACCACTGTCTCCTAAAATATAATTATTGCCACATTTTTGAGGTAGAGTTTGGCCAAGAGGAGAAGCATTAAAGACTCTACTGTCATGCACTGACCCAGGAAATCCAACCATAACATCTGTGATTTTTCTTCTATGGGCACAAACGATCTGAAACTATAATTTATTTATAAATAATTTATTTATATAGATAATATTAACATACCTGCATTGAATAATATCCTTTTCTGTTTAAATAAGAATCCGAATCTTTATTAGGTTTATCAATGCGTATGTGACTTCCATCAATAACTCCTATGACAGATGGAAAACCATTTGTTGAAAATTGTTCCATTATATGTACCTGCTCCTCTTGGGTTGGCCACAATATTATTTCAGGGCTTAAATTACTTACAAAATATGTCATCCGCTGGATAACTTTTCTTAATGTGCTGATTGATATACAAAATCTATCAGACACATCCCTGTATGATGTTGCTTCATGACCAGTAAACCACAAAAAAATCAATGTATAGTCCATTGCACTTAATTTACCAAATTCTCCACTTTGTTTAAAAAAATATTCTGACCTAGAAAACCTCTCTGAAATTTCTTGAGCAATATGTCTGCTAAGTCTGAAATGCTCCATAAATTCTTCATCTCTATATTGTGGAATAATTTCCTCTAAATAATTTTCGTTTTTGTGCTTAATGCGACGATTAAATAAAATTTCCAATTCTTCATCACTTGAAGAACTAAGTTCATTCTGCTCGAATACCTAAAAAAATTACACATTTAATATCCTATATTTACAAGCTTGTTAGTTTTAAAAATTGTTTGAATTATCCGCAAGATACAATAGTTAAGAACATAGACCAAAAATAAAAAACCTGGTTTAATTATTCAATATAAAAAGAATAATAAAAATGTTTATATTTTAATGATTATATACATTTTAAATAGAAATGTACTTACGTTCATGTTGTACTATTTATTTACTTATGTTCAAAAATTCTGATAACAATAAAATAATATAATAAATATAATCTTCCAAATATGGTTATAACACAGTATAAACAGCAACCAAAAACGTTATAATTTTATTCAAACAATTCGAACTCGAACTGCGCAAGTCTCTGATTCCAAATAAGCAGAAAATCTGCAAACTCTTTTGACTATCACCAACTAATCCACAACTTCAAATGTTTGCTCTACGAACAGATGATTTTAAATCACTAACAGTTTCTTATTGCTCTGCGAACGCTAATAATGAAACACGCATGCGTCGTGCAGTTGGTGACAGTTGCTGACTCCTGTACGAACAAACCTTATATGTTCCAATTCTAATCCACATAAACAAGAAAAATTCGATTCGGAGATAAATCAACTTCAACCGGAATGTAGATAATCGAAGCTTTACAAAATAATCGGAATCATCCGATTATTTTACGAATCGGAATGTTTACGATTTTTGTATTCGGAATCGCCCATCACTATGGAGTAATGTACTTAAAAAATACTATATGAGAGCAAAAGAGAGTAGAATTTGAAGAGAGTGTTCCTAGGGCCGATTGTAATGCAATTATTATCGATAGTAAGAGTATTGATAATATTGTTTCATCCAATTCTTCGGTTTCTGATAGTAATATTGTTTCAAATTCTTCGGCTTTGTCGACTACTGACAGTGATGAGTATCAGTTTTTATTAACAGACTCTGATCATGGGGAACTATCAGATGAGGATTCAGATAATTTAAATAAAACAGGACGACGAAACGATGAAACAATGAATTTAAAATCATTTTTATCTAGTTGGGAACTACAATATAACATTTCACATGTGGCACTAAACGATCTTTTAAAATACTTAAAAAAAAACTACATTCTGAATTACCATCTGATCCCAGGACACTTCTCCACACAGATAGAACGGTAATTACAAAATCGATTAATAATAATCGATAAATTTGGTTTAGAAACTTATATTAAATATTTAATAAATAGTTCATCTTACTTTTTCAAAAATAAAATTTTAATTGATTTAAATATCAATGTAGATGGTTTGCCTATATCGAAAAGTAGTTGTAGTCAGGTATATCCCACATTGTGTATACTTAGTGGAACCTCAATGGTAGACATTATTGGTATTTACTGGGGCCATGAAAAACCTAACGATGCTAATAATTTTTTAGAGGACTTTGTAAATGAACTTATTTACATAATCAACAACAATATAATTATAAATGGAAAAACATATCATGTAAGAATGAAAGCTTTTATCTGTGATGTTCCAACAAAGGCTATTATTTCTTATAGCAAAGGTCATACTGGTTATGATTCATGTAGTAAATGTTATATGAGGAGAATATAAAGACAAAAGAATTTGATTTCCAAATTTATATAATTTAAGTTTAAAAACAGTATATAATGGATGAGCTGGTAAGTGACAGGGCACTCTTTTGTCCAGGGGTTGGGAAACTGGCCCTAAAGGCGAAGGAACCTCAGTAGAGGTCAACGGCATAAGGATGTAGAAGGCCGAGGACAACCACTACATTAAAGATTCCATTGAATAGTCCTAGTATAAAATCATATATGGTAATGCTCACAACTAAATACGATTCCGGAGTAAGTTCCCCAATCGGATCTCCGGGGGGGACAGTTATGAGTACCTATAAAAAAGAAAAAGCAGCAAAACCACAATTTTTAAAAATTTGTACATGGAATGTGAAAACTATGGCAAGGAGTGGAAAAATAGACAATGCCATTCAGGAAATGGAAAGAATGACCATTGACATAATGGGAATAAGTGAGATGAGATGGCCCGGAACAGGAAGCATTGACAAAAAAGATCACAGAATATTCTACTCAGGGTCACTAGATGGAAAGCTAGAGCATGGAGTTGGTGTGATAATAACAAGAAAAATTAGTAGATGTATTTTAAATTTTGTCCCAGTGTCCAACAGAGTATAACAGAGAGAAAATAACATCCAACGAGAAATCAATCAATTCGAAGAAATAATTAAGAAAACTAAACAAGATCTGCTAAAACCAAACAAAGAAACAAAGAAGAAATCTTGGATGACTCCAGAAATCCTTCATTTAATGGAACGCAGAAGGTTAATTAAAGGAAATAAAGATGAGTATAAAAAAATGCAGGCTTACATTAGAAGAAAAATAAGAGAAGCTAAAGAAAAAGAAGCTGTAGAGAAATGTAAAGAAATAGAAAGACTACAAGCCAAGCATGACAATTTTAATGTACACAAAAAGGTAAAAGAAATAACGGGTACTTTTAAAAAGCGAACACAAATGAAACTCATAGACACCAATGGAAAATTAATCATTGACACCCAAGAGATGAAAGACAGATGGAGAATATATTTGGAGACACTTTTTCAAGATCAAAGAACGGATTATAGGCATCCATTTTCAGAGAGGATGACGGGCCCGGACATACTTAAATCCGAGGTAGAAGAAGCAATAAAACGGATGAAAAGCAGGAAAGCTGTAGGGCCTGATAATATCGAAGCTGAATTTTTAAAACTCTTGGAGGAAGAAGGAATAATTTGGATCACGGCTGTCTTCAATAAAATTTACAATACAGGAATCATCCCTGATAAATGGCTAGAATCAGAATTCATAGCGATACCTAAAAAACAGGGGGCTAAAAAGTGCGAAGAATATCGAACAATCAGCCTAATGAGCCACATGTTGAAACTGTTTCTTAGAGTCATCCATGGAAGAATTTATAAAAAGTGCGAGGAACAAATATCGAACAGACAGTTCGGCTTCATTAACGCAGTGGGTACCAGAGAGGCACTTTTTGGAGTACAGGTACTGATTCAAAGATGCAGGGACGTTAACTGCGACGTATACGCGTGCTTGATCGACTACGAAAAGGCATTTGACAGAGTTCAACATCAAAAGATGATAAAAATTTTAAAAGAGGCAGACCTGGATGACAAAGACCTCAGAATAATTTCAGAACTCTACTGGAATCAGACCGCATACATGAAAATTAACAGAGAAGAAACAGATCACATAAAAATACTACGTGGAGTTAGACAGGGATGTATCCTATCGCCGTTGATATTTAATATGTACTCAGAGAAAATTTTTAACGAGGCTCTCTACGGAATAGACGAAGGCATCCTTCTAAATGGTGAAAGAGTAAACAATGTTAGATATGCCGACGACACCATGGTGATAGCAGATAGTTTAGAGGGACTTCAGAGGCTAATGGACAGAATAAACGAGTACAGTCAACAGTACGGACTAAACATTAATACCCACAAAACGAAACAAATGATTATCAGCAAGGAGAATATAAATGGGGCTCATATATACATTAATGGGACGCAGATAGAGCGAGTAAAACAGTATTGTTACCTGGGAACTATTATTAACGAACAGTGGAGCAATTTACAGGAAATAAAGTGCCGCATAGGAAAGGCAAGAACGGTCTTTAACAAAATGAGCGCCATCTTCAAAAGTCACAACATATCCCTTGATACAAAAATGAGACATTTGAGATGCTATGTTTTCTCTGTGTTGTTGTACGGGGCGGAGGCATGGACGCTTACAGACGCCACTATTAAAAAACTTGAAGCATTTGAGATGTGGCTTTATAGAAGAATGCTGAGAATATCATGGACAGCAAGGATCACGAACAAGGAAGTTCTAGGAAAAATGAAGAAGGAACCAGAGATTGTGTTTACGATCAAACGCATAAAATTGCAATATCTGGGACACGTTATGAGAAATCAGCACCGTTACTCCCTGCTACAGTCTATATTGCAAGGTAAAGTCAAAGGTAAGCGAGGACCCGGTAGAAGGAGAATATCATGGCTGCGGAATTTAAGAACATGGTTTAAGAAAACCTCAACGGAGCTGTTTCGAGCCGCAGCGAGCAAGGTTATGATTGCCAATATGATTTCCAACATCCGAAACGGATAGGAACTAGAAGAAGAAGATATAATGGATCATCAATTTTGAAGAATATACCCAACATTAATTTAATTAATAATTTTCCACTTGATTATATGCATTTGATATGTTTGGGAGTTGTGAAAAAAATTATTTTAATATGGTGTTGTGGCAAGCCATCTTTAAAACTAACGCAACAACAAATTTCAAATATTTCTACATCACTAATAGCTACCCAAAAGTTTATTTCAAAAGAATTTAATAGAAAGCCACGTATTTTAAATGAAGTAAAGAGATGGAAAGCATCAGAATTTAGACAATTTTTATTTTATACTGGTCCTACAGTATTGAAAAAAGAACTAAGTGGAGATTATTATTTAAATTTCTTAGTTTTACATTTAGCTTGCACAATTATGTCAAGTAATAACTATTTTGAATACCTTGACTATGCCCATGACTTATTAACATATTTTGTTAAAACTTTTAAACAGTTATATGGACCTCATCGTGTTTCTCACAACGTTCATAATTTGCTTCATCTCACCAATGATGTAAAAAATCATGGCCCTCTGGATACCTTTTCTTCGTTCCCTTTCGAAAAATATTTGTAATCAATCCTTAAATCTATACGTAAGAAAGAAAAGCCATTATCTCAAATTGTTAAAAGACATAATGAGAAAAGAAAGCAACTTATTTCTAAAAATGTACAGACCCTTGAGTATCCTCTTTTACAAAATATTCATGAAAATGGTATAACATTGAACATGAATTATGAAAATCAATTCAGAACAATTTTCCATCTATTCACAACTTCTCCATCGGTGGACACTGAACAGGCATCAGAACAGAGCTAGAATGGTAATTATTGTGTTATGATTGATATATAAACATATTCATATTTATTTATTTTTAATAGAGACATCAAAACAATCAACAGAGTGCAACCATTCCTGTACAAAATGCTGTGGAAAGAAGGGTAACAGATTTTCTAAATATTATTTTCAAAATTAAGCTGATTTAATATTTAATACTCTTATGATTGATCAATTTATACATTTTTAGATGAGAGAACTCTTATACAGTCAATTTTAAGGCAGACAAACGTGGTTAAGTACATGGTAAGCGATGTTCTGCAGGAAATAAAACAAATTAATAAAATTTCTTATGTTCCGCCTGAACAGCTATCACAGACTCTAGCCACAAGAATAAAAGATGCCGTGGAGCTCCCATTAGATAATACTGAAAGCTTCGAAAAATTCAATGAAGCGTTAAATGAAACAACTTTATACAATTTTGCTGTAAGTAGATTTTTTTTAATGTGATTGTTAATAAAGTAACATCATAAAGTACCCCGCGGTACCTCCATCACCCCGAAAGGCGTGATGGACGTCCCACATTACTTGATCCCTCCGTTACTTGGTGAGTATGTGACACCACGCGCGGGTTCCTGAGATTTTGCCCCGATTGGGAGACTAGCGTCTAGGGGGAGACCTTCTCTTATGTGCAGACTTGCGCAGTTCATTTGTATTATATTTCCGAATGTGTCAATGAGGTTTATGTGTATTGTTGGTTGCGATAAATTTTCGAGTATTTCTATCGTTCACAGTTCTGTTTTCTTTTTGAACATTTTATTTTGTTGTGAAAATGTCCGGTGTGCAAAGCTTTAAGTGTGTGGAATGCGGAAAATTTTATAAACGTTTAAGTGAGCTAAGACGACATGTAAAAAGTTTTCATCCCGACAAATTGGATTTAATTGCGCCTTTAAAAGTTTTAAAAGGCACCGTCTACAAATGTACATACTGTGATAGAAAATTTAGTTATAAGCGAAATTTAAACTTTCATCTGAAAAAAGTACACTCAAATGTGTCAGTTTCTACCTCGGTTTCTGCAGAAACTCCAAAAAATAAACAAAAATGTACACTGTGTGATTATAGTGCCACTTATAAAAAGGACTTTATTAAACATTATGAAACTTCTCATAGCGTTACTATGCAATATGATGTAATAGAGTTTTCCAACCATGATAACTTTATTTCTTGGAAGAATAAAATAGAGCATGAAACAAACGCTAGTTTTGTTAGGAAGAAAGGTATAGAAAAAGGAAAAAAGGCAGGAATAGTGAACTACATATGCCACCGATCGGGATTTTTCACCTCAAGAGGTAAAGGCGACAGACACCTTAAAACACAAGGTAGCAATAAAATTAATGGATACTGTCCTGCTATGATAAAAGAAGTTGTCCAAAGTGATGGAAAATGTGTAGCATATTTCGTGAAAACTCATGTTGGTCACCAAAATACAATTGGGCACTTATTTTTGTCATCCCTAGAAAGAAAGTCAATTGCTACGAAACTAGCTGCAAAAATTCCATTTGAAGCGGTTTTAGATGAAGTGAGAGATGGAATTTCAGATGCAGATAAATTACAAAGAAAGCACCTTTTGACAAAAAAGGATCTGTATAATATTGAGGCCACTTTTAACCTTCGCTCTACTACAGTAAGACATCAAAATGATGCTGTTAGCCTAGAATCTTGGGTAAATGAAATGAGAAACACCTGTGTTTTATTTTATAAGCCTCAAGATGTGACATCAGATGAGTACCCCCAGCTGCAAAGTGATGATTTTGTTTTAATCATTATGAACACTGGTCAACTCACCACATTGAAGAAGTTTGGAAGTGACTGTATTTGTGTTGATGGAACTCATGGTGTTAACAGCTACCAATTTGAGCTTCATACATTATTAGTCCTTGATGACCTACGTCAAGGCTTTCCTTGTTGTTTTTGTATCTCCAATAGAAGCGATGAGACTATAATGTCTTTATTCTTTGAATGTGTTAAGAAAGAAAGTGGCCTTATTGAAGCAAAAGTTTTCATGTCTGACATGGCAGATGTGTATTATAATGCATGGTCAAAAGTAATGACTGAAACACATTTCCGGTATGTTTAATTGCATTCTTCACATTATAATATAACTTTAATTATTGATGTTTATTTTTCAGCTTATATTGTACATGGCATGTGGATCGTGCATGGAGAAAGAACCTAACTTTGATTAAGACCAAAGAAAAACAGGTATGTACTTATTGGGTTGATTTTAAAATAAATAAGTCTTAAAAATCAATTCAGTCATTAAAAATTAACTTATTTTTTTACTCTTTCATATAATTTCAAAAATTTTCTCTATCTTCTAACAATTTCATTTTATTTGTTTCATACATAATGACAATTTAGATATACATGATACATTTTAAAGTAAAGGACTATAAAATGATATTTTCAATATGTTTTACATTGACAGTAACAAATCGATACTTTAAATCCATATGCTTCACTCTCTTGTTATTTCCCTGATTTTTCAAAAGTGCTAAATACCCTTGGTTATCTTCAAAAATCTTTATTTGTTTCACTTCAATATTTAAATCAATTAATAATTTTCTCATAAATAAATTTTCTGTTACACAAGCACATAAAGCTACTAGTTCAGCTTCAGTTGTTGATAAAGTTATAAAGTTTTGTTTTCTTCTTACCCATGATACTACATTTCCAAATAACTTTATTACATAACCAGTAACTGATTTTCGATCAATTCGATCACTTCCCCAATCAGAATCTACAAAACTTACCATTGGCTGTTCATTTTCCCTACAATATTCCAAACCCACATTTTCAGACCCCTTTAAATATCTCAATACTCTTTTTAAATGAATACATATTTCATATCTTATCTGATGCCTTGTCTTGGTATCTAGAGAAATAATTAAGAGCGAAACATATGTCAGGTCAACTACCTAACATAAGATACATTAAGCAACCTATTAATTGTCTCACAGGTTTATTTGAATCATTATTATCACTGCATGTCAAATTCAATTTTGGATCCATTGGTATAGAAGTAGGATTGCAAGAATCCATACCAAACTTTCTTAAGATCTGTTTAATATATCTTGTCTGACTAATATGTAAAATACCTTTGTCTCTATCATAGTTTATTTTTAAACCAAGAAAATATTCAAGTTTACCCTTATCCTTCAATTCAAACTTTTTCATTAACTGCTTTACAATATAGTTTATAAAATCATTATCAGGACCACAAACTATTATATCATCTACATAAATTAAAAGATATGTTGCAAAATTATCATTACTTGTAATATATAAAAAAAATCATTCTTGGACCTTATAAATCCAATTTCAAGTAAATAAGTGTTAATTTCTATGTTCCAACATTTTGATGATTGTTTTAACCCATACAATGCTTTATTCAACCTATATACTTCATTTTTACATTCTACTCCCTCTGGCGAATATATATATATATATATATATATATATATATATATATATATATATATATATATATATAGACTTCTTCTTCCAAAATTCCATTTAAGAATGCTGACTTAACATCTAGTTGTCTGAAATAAAATGAAAATTGATTTCCAATAGCCAAGATCGTTCTAATGTGGTCATTTTCGCTACTGGAGAATAAATTTCTTCAATATGTTCCCTTCTCTTGTGCAAATCCTCGAACTACTAATGGAGCCTTATATTTATCACATTTACTCTCTTCAAAAGGTTTAAAAGTATATACCATTTCGTATCCAAAATATTATTTCCAATAGGTTTTTTATCTACTATGTTCCAGGTACCATTTTTATTTATCGAATCAATCTCCCTTTCCATTGCCTTAACCCAGCAATCTTTATCATCCCTTTCTTTTACTTCTTCAAATGACTGTGGCACATCTTCAACCAAATTCATAGCACATAGAGCCATATAAGTCTCATAATCTTCTAACCATTTTGGTGGCTTTATATTTCTATTTCCTCTACCTTCTGAGTGACTTGTGCTCTGTTTTTCATTTCTTACTTCTTCATTAATACTAACTTGATTTATTTCATTTCTGCGATTTATTCCCTGTTTTGCAATGTTGTCTACCCTATCCATACCTTTATCATGTTTGCTCCTAACTTCTTCAAACCTCAAATATTCCTTAAATTTACTGAAAACCTTACTTTTATTTTTAATTAAAAAAAGCATAGTATAATTTGAAAAATTATATAAAACATAGTATAATCTATAAAAGTGACAAAATACTTACAACCATCAATTGTTTGTGGACTGAGTGGCCTGCACACGTTAGAATGTATTATTTTTAAAATTCTATTACTTTTTGTCCTGGTTGAAAAAGGTAACCTTGAAAACTTTCCCTGTATACATGGTTCACAAAAATTCACTCGGCCAATATGTATGTCCTTTCTTACTCCATCAACTAAATTCTTTTTAATTAATTTTTCTAGTGATTTAAAATTTAAATGTGAAAACCTTTCATGCCGTCTAATAAATTCTTTATTTTGGTCAATTTGGACAGAGTAACATTTTTGTTGAACTACTTCAAAATTGATTTTGTATAAACCATCTCTTTTACCTAATCCTATTAAACAACCATTCTTAATTAATTTTACACCATTTTCAAAAATTACAGTACATAATCTGAGATATTTCCAATCTTTTTACAGAAAGTAAATTTTTTCGTAACTGTGGTACATAAAAAGCATTTTCAATTTTACATTCTACTTGTTGACCACATACATTGCTAAAAACATTAATATTTCCAATACCTACTGCAGGTAAATAGTTACCATTTTTTGCTAATGCTATATCTATAGGTTTACCCAAAATTACCAAATCTGTAAATATACTTTTATCATTTAGTAAGTGATCAGTACATCCTGAATCAATCACAAATTCTAAGTTATTCACTGTTTCACTATTAACTACATTGTTACCTAACTCAGTTATAAAACATACCTTAGACACTTCATCAGTTATATCATCAATCTCATGTCTTTATTTATATGTCCATGATCTCATGTGACCTATCCTGCTGTTGGGTGAAGTTGCTTCTATGCATTCCTCTGTTGTGTTGTAAGTTTCTCGTACCTCTGTAACTGTTACCTCTATTTGACCCATTTCCTCTAAGATATTCTGAAAACCTCTTTGACTCTGAAAATTTGATCTGAGATTGTTACCTCTATTTGATCAATTTCCTCTAAAATCATTCTGTATACCTCCTTGACTCTGAAAATTTGTAAATCTGCAAGACCCTCTTGGATAACTTGTGGATACTCTTGCTCGACATTCTCTTTTATAATGGCCTCTTTTTCCACACCTATAACAAGATGTGTCAACATTGAAAGCAACTTGTTCAGCACCAACTACTCGACTTGCTCTTACACCCAGGCACCTCTTTTCTTCTTCACTCAATAACCTTTTCTTTACCTCTTCATATGATAGTACACCAGACGGTAAATTTTCGATAACTGTTACCACTGTTTACTGTTTCATAGGATTTTGGCAAAGTTAACAGCAAATTACATATTATAATAACTTGATATTCAATTTTTACCCCAGTGGCTCTTAACTGTCTCAGGATTTCCTCAAATTCACCAATAAATCGTACCACTTTCTTTTTAGAAACAGTTGTCCTGGTAGCCACTTTTTCTCATTTCTTGCTTCTAAACTTTTCCACATATGGTACGCCTGTTCTTTGTCCCGCAATATCTCTAATTGTTGCATCGGAAACACATTGAACAATTATTGATTTGGCTTTATTGTTCATTTTTTGGAATTTTTTCATCTCGTTCTCGCTTAAACCTGTTGTGATTGTTTCGTCTTTTACACACTCTAATACTTCATTTTCTGCCAATATTATTTCCATCCGAAACTTTCATGATAAGGAATTCTCACCTTTTAGGACCTCAAACGGGTTAAATAGATGGATTGAAGTATTATAATAATTATATTATTATTAACTTATAAAAAAAAAATGTTCGCAACCAACAATACACATAAACCTCATTGACACATTCGGAAATAGATACAAATGAACTGCGCAAGTCTGCACATAAGAGTAGGTCTCCCCCTAGACGCTAGTGATTGGGAGCGGGACCACACAGAATAATATTTCCCAAATCAAGAAGCCCGAGTTGCTCGGGTCCTGAAGTGAATGGGTGACTGGCCTTGGCTGCTATGTGGTACGAAACGAAACAACATTGACATACGTGGGACTGGTGCCATTGTTGGATTAGTGAGTACTAAAGATGGTACAAGGCCTGTATACACCATTCATGGCGAGGATCGAATGAAGGAATGAATGGGAAGTGAAGTAGGGGTGTTAAAAATATTGCAATAATCTAGTAGAATTCAGCAGCATCCTACCAGAGTAAGGCCTGGTAGGACACTCTGAAGGGCGAATTAAAAAAAACATCATAGAGTACTTGTAGTATCAGTGAAGCTTTTAACACAAAGAACCTGATTAAAAATCTGTAAAATTTTTATAAAGTGTATATTATTTAATATCTTTACCATTTTAGGTGAATGATCTTGCCAAGTTAGGTGGAAAAAGCATTAATGATTTTATTAAAAGAGCATGTCTCACATTGCTAACCCACAAAGTTGGTGCTGAATATAGCTACTATGGCAAAAAAGGCAAGAAGCCTTTTTTAAAGCTAAATGTAGCTAAAGTTTTAATAGGTAAGATATAAAGTTTTATTTAGTACACTTATATGTTTTTCAAATGAGAAAATTTTATTGAATTATTAATTTATTTAAAAAAAAATTCACTTTCAACACAAAAAAAATTATTTATCTGAAACCTCTTTGATTTGAAATGATTAATTTAATAATTCATTGAAATTACATATAAGAACCAGTGATCATATATTTTCAAGTGGTTCCATTATTTACAGATGCAGCCGAAAAAGCAAAAGTTGCTGGTTCAACAAAAGAAACCGAAATTGCAATAAAAACATGGCTTAGACGTTATTTTTGCTTTTCATTTTATTAGTTTTTTGTGTACGTTCCCTTTAGGTCCTGTATACATCCTCATTTAGGTCCTGTATTAGTCCATGTGGACGTACAATGGATGTCCCCAATACATCCTTCTTAGGTCCTATATAAGTCCGTATTAAGTTCTGTATATGTACTATGTACGTCCCCATAAATATCCCTGGGACGTCCAGGAAACGTACTTTTTGGTAACATTTAGGTCTTATTGGACGTCCCGGGGACGTCCGAATTATGTAAACGGATGTCCGGACATTTAATGAGGTACATCGTTCGGACGTCCATGGGACGTACTTGTGCTGTCTGGGATGTTTCAATAAATTGAATGTACAAATGTTAAACTATTGCACTAAAATGAGGTTACAAAACATCCGTTTTATCGGAAAAAGTTAAAATAATTTCATCTTTATCCGATGTCGGAAGCGAGTTAAAAATTTCGGATGAAATTCGGCGCAAAAATATTCTGATTCGATTCTGACCAATGAGAATACTTTCGGATCATCGTGTCGTCGGAAATCGGATACATGGGACTCAGCCCTTACCCTTAGTTCCTCAGAATCTGATGTATGAGCTACGATGTCTAATTGCAATTCAGATTCTGATATAGATGTGCACAATGATCAGGAGGCAATAAATGGTCTTTAGATGATGAAGAGGTTCTTGTAGACTACTTGTGGATGAGGAACTAACAATCAAATTTTTATGATACACACTGAAGTGGCTTTTATTATCCTACTTAAAATAATATTAGCACTATATCCAGAGCCAATATTGTGGCAAAACTTCCGATGCCTTCAGAAACCAAGGAAACATCTCGTCAAGCATCTTACATAAAGTTCAATACCTCATTTTTCCCTTACAACATTAAATAACTTCTTTGTCAAATATGTTCATGTTATAACCAATAAATATCATTCGTAAGTACTTTGTGTATTATATTATTTTTTGTTATAAGGCTGAGACATATATTTATCTGAATGGTCCAAATGTGCCCCATAGCTGTACAAATCTGCCCATGGTGGGTGTTTAACTATGTATTACTAAACCGAACATAGCCGTTAGACGTGTGGTGTCAACTATCAAGGTTAATGTAATGCAGCAAAAATATCACCTTTAAAAATATAAGTTTGTATTTAGGTTCCAATAAACGATTATAAAGATTATCCAATTATTAAAACAACCTAATATATTTGGATACATTAATTCTAAACATGGCACAGTCACACATGCATAGACCTGTAAAATTGCCTCCAGATTTCCAAAGATCCGTCTGCCCATAATATAAAGCTAGAGGTATATGTTAATCCAAGAGCCAATGAAGTGTTTGAAAGGTACAAGTTTTTAAGCAGAAACCAAAAAGAGAACGAATCGTTTGAGCATTGCCTCACTCAAGTAAAGCACGTGGTGAAATCTTGTAATTTTACTGTAACTAACCCAGATGAAACAACTGAGGAGAAAGCTCTAAGAGAAAGCGCCCACCAAACTGGCGTGGCAAGTAACACGCGTCTAGAATGTTACTTAAAATGTAACCAATGCAAACGAATGATTAGAATGAATGACGTCACTATCATTTTGACGTGCGCTGAATCATTCTTTTTCATTGGTTACATTTTAAATAACATGCTAGACGAGTGCTACTTGCTACTTGCCACGCCAGTTTGGTGGGCGCTCTCACTAAGAGACAGAATTGTCATGGGCATTCGTGATACAGTCACAAGAGAAGCTCTACTAAGAATAGACAAGCTAAAGTTAAATAAAGTCATAGAAATTTGCCGTGCAAGTGAAATCAGTAAGAACCAGAACAAAATGTTTGCAGAAGAGAGCATCGCAGAAATTCATAATATCAAGAGGTTTCCCAAGTATAAACATACATCGCATACAAGCAAGACAAATTTAAATGTAGGCGCTGTCAAACAATGCACGGGCCAAGGAAGTGTCCAGCATTTGGAAAATCCTGCTCACAGTGTGGAATCTTGAACCACTTTGCAGTTGCTTGTAGAGTAAGAAATGTAGAGAATGTGGACAACCAAGAGAAATCTGACAGTGATAGTGATAGTAGTTATAGTTTAGTGATAAATAATGTTGATGTTTCAAATCAGTTACGGGACCTTTGGGATGAGATTTTTGAAGTAGAGAATTTCAAATTTAAAGTTATGCTAGACACAGGGGCTGACATTTCAGTAATACCAAACAAAATTTTTAAAAGGATTGACAAGCAATTTAATCTTTCCGTGAACATGCGGGGTATTTTAGGTACCCCAGATGCGGTTTTGTTTTTATAACTTTTCAAAATATTTTTATTTTTCTTTATCCCTCCAGGTAATCTTAGAAAATATATTACCAAATCATTTTTTTGTAAAAATTATTAAATATAATTTCAATTTTATAGTAAAATTGAAATTAATTCCTTGGGGTACCTCCGTTACCCCGCACGGCCTGCTGCGTATTGAAATCATACGCGTATATTCCTGTCGTCGGCCAGCCAAATATGATGTAAACGAAATGAAATGAAATGTAAACAATATTCTATTTTTAGATTACTGTTAGACTAAAATAATCAGGTTTAGATTACTTTAGTCGATCTTAGTAGTAATTTCTTTGCTTTGCGGTACGTATTTGTGTATTTCGGAGAAAATGGCGCGACGTAAATATTATACTGAAGAGGAATTACGTAGAATTTTAGAAGAGAGTGACAATGATGAATACGAGATCAGTGATAGTGAATCAGAAAGTACCGACAATGTCGAAGAACAACAAACAGTTCTAGATGAAATTACAGTCTCTGAAAACGAAAGTGAAAAGTCTACTTTTGAGCCAATTGCGGAAATACTAAAATCGAAATCAGGATATGAATGGAAAACGCAACCCCCTGCACCTACAAGGCGCAAGGCTCATAATATATTAAATTGTCGAGAAGGTTTACAAAATAATAGGTGAGTATACATTTTGAAAATAAACAAATGTTTTGATTAATTCGCAATTCGTTTTAGCATGGCTCTAACTTCAATAAAAGAAGCATTCCAATGCTATCTAAATGACAATATGCTAGCTGACATATGCACTCACACAAATCGACATGGAGAAGTATATTCTGAAAAATTTAATGAAACTCATCCTGATGATCAAATGCGTTGGAAGAATGTTACAATTACTGAATTATACGCTTTCATTGCAGTGCTTATAGCAAGTGGGAGGAATCACGGAAGAAAACTCCACTTGTCGGAAATGTGGGCCGAAAATGAACTATTCAAACAACCATTCTTTACTGCTGTAATGTCTAGAAATAGATTCAAAATTATATATAGACACTTGCGATTTGATGACCCCTCAACAAGAGCAAATAGAATAATAGAAACAAAAGATAAACTACAAGCAATTCGCAATACATACGATCAATTTGTAAAAAATTGCGTTGATAATTATTCACCTGGTGAAAATATCACAGTCGATGAGAGATTAGCTACATTCAGAGGAAAATGTCCTTTTAGAGTTTATATAAAAAGTAAACCTGGTCGATATGGAATAAAAATTTGGGTTTGTTCGGACTCTGATACTGCTTATATTTTGAACAGTCAGATATACACTGGAATGATAGAAAATCAACGAGAAATAAATCAGGGTTTTAGGGTAGTTCTAGACATGGTTAAACCCTATTTTGGATCAGGGCGTGGAGTTACCACAGACAATTTTTTTACCTCTGTTCCCCTAGCCGAAGAACTGCTAAGACGTCAACTTACAATTACGGGAACTCTAAGGGCCAACAAAAAAGAGATTCCTGCTGAATTTGCTCCAAATTCTGCGCGCGAAGAACGTTCCTCTATTTTTGGATTTTCTAATGATCTCACATTAGTATCCTATGTACCTACAAAAAAGAAAGCTGTCATTTTGTTATCGACACAGTTTCACAGCGACGAAATATCCTCTGATGAAAAAGCAAAACGTAAGCCTGAAATTATTTTACACTACAATAAAACCAAAGGGTCAGTTGACACCGGAGATAAAATGACTAGAGAATATACATGTGTTCGTTCAACTAGGAGATGGCCATTTAGGATTTTTATGGAAATTATTGATATGGCTGCACTCAATGCCTATATTATATTTACTAAAAAGTTTCCCGATTGGAAGAGTAATGACCGAAGTAGGCGAAGAATTTTTTTACAAAACTTGGCAGAAGAACTTTCACTCCCAAACGTTCTACACCGGAAACAGAATAATAAAAATTTTCACAAAACTGTAAAAAGTGCAATAGATTTATTTCTCTCTAATAGCAATGCCACTGTGTCAGAAAACCCTGCCAGAGACATTCAACAATATACAAATCGAAGATGCAGCTTTTGTGCCAGAACACGGGACAGAAAGACTAAAATATCATGTAGTACATGCAGAAAACCCATATGCAACATACATCGAGAAGAAACTAAAACATTTTTTTGCCCTGACTGTAAAAATGATAAATAAGATCATATTATTGTAATTACAGGTAAAATAAAAAAAATGTACATCTTTTTAATAATAAAAACAAATTATTTCAGTGACTAGCGCTTTATTATATAACTTTCCAAACAATAATGTATAATTTAAATGAATTATTAAAGTATTTTAGTGGGGTACCATAGTTACCCCGCACGGCCTGCAACGTAAGTTTTTATAGCACGGTTCCGGAAAGGTTAACGTATGTAAAAATAAATTTATTGTCAAGGGTTTTGAAGGCACTCAGGCAAAAACTGTTGATACTGTAAGCCTTCATTGTAACTATAAGAACAAAAATATATATGAAATCTTTGTAATTATTGAAGGAGCTAACAAAATTTTGCTGGATGTGCAGGCTTGCGTTGATCTTGGTCTTTTAAAACGAATAAACAGGGTAAATATTAAAAAATGTGACAACAATGTTGAGAAAGATCAATTCATAGCAGAGCTCGACAGGCTTGTGCAGAGGAAAGCCATAGTAAAAGTGGATGAAATAGACCCTCGTGCCAGCATAAACCGTATAGTAATTGTTGAAAAAAGTAATGGTACATTGAGATTATGTCTAGATCAACAAAACCTTAATGGTCAAATTGTACGAAAACTACAACCAGTCAAGACCATTGAAGAAGTGTGCTCCAATATGATCGGAAAAAAATATTCACTGTATTTGATTTGCCTGAAGAGTACCACCACTTAGAATTAGATGAGAACTCCTCTTGGAAATGTAGTTTTGCTACACCTTGTGGTATCTACAGATATGTGGTTCTGCCTTATGGACTTTCAAACTCCCAAGACTTATTCCAGGAACAAGTTGAAAGAAATTTTGGAGACTTAAAAAATGTCCAGATCTTACATAACGACATGATAATAGTAGGTCGAGATAAAGAGGAACATGATAAAGCAGTTGCACAAGTGATAAAAAGAGCTAAATAAACCGGCGCCAAATTCAATAATGCTAAGTTCCAGATGAAGCCAAAGGGGCTATCCCAAAACGACACCTAAAACCAACGCAGCAATCAACAAGTTCTGGTGTACCTGAAACCACAGCCAGTGACCCCAAAAGTACCTCTTTGCTCGCAAAGAGTAATGGTTCTATACAGAGGCCCAGGCGTTCCAAGCCCTCGCCACCAATCAACAAACATACACGTTTTGTATCAGTCATCTTCTACGTCTGATCCAAAGGGGGAGGATGTAACAAGATTATACTTGGCAACCCTGTAAACCATTGTGACGTAGGATGCTGTCAACGGTTGTCCGCCATATTCTCATTGTCATATGTCTAAGCATCCCCTTAAACAATACTGCTAGAGGCAAGTAAAATTTATGGGACAAGTATTCTCAGAGAAGGGTATGGAAATAGACCCAGGTAGAGTTGAATCATTTGTAAATTAAAAAGACCAAAAGACAAAACTGAACTTCAAAGAATAATTGGAAGGTTTAATTATGTTAGAAAATATATCCCGAACATGGCAGAGCATATTAAACCTTCATGTGAACTTTTAAAAATCTGACGTAGAATTTAAATGGCTGCTATTACAACAAAGGTCAACAAATTTTAAAAGGAATAATTACTAAATCTCCCGCATTAACGCCATTTGACCCAAAGAGGAAGATTATACTACAATGTGATGCCTTCAAGAATGGATTAGGTTGCTGTATGTTCCAAGAACATGAGAATAAAATTTTAAAACTGGTAACTTGTACTCGAAATATGAATGATTACGAAGTGAACTACAGCCAAACAGAGAAAGAGACGCGGACAAAAAATCCGCTCTTCTGCCACTTTCTTCCCAATTACGGGCCCTGGCCCACGGAGCTACCGGCAATCCTGAGGTGGAGAATCCATCGCCTCGATGATGTCGTCCACTCCAGTCAGGCCTAGCATGCTAAAACCTCAATACTCCGGGAGTATTGGATTTTAGGAAGTGTAAGACTTCCAAATTTCAGAAGAACTGGAAGAGAGGTGATGAAAATACTAAAAATATGGCTAAGCTCAGAGGAACAAATTTAAATGGCCAAAGAGACACTAAATCTCAAGTGAGTGTTCGGGCTAGCTTCAATGCACTGAATTGTGGCTTTAAAGATATAAAGCAGATAGCAAGGATAATGAGCTAATGAGACAAGAAACGAAATGAGACCTGTTAATATCAAACGTGATACAACTAAAGAAGATCACTGGGAATAAATTTATAGAAAAAGAACAATAAGAAGAGAAGAAGAAGGGCGCCAACTCAACGATAGTTGAGATTTTGAAGTAACAAATGACTGGAAACAAATGATACTGGAGATAATAACCTGAAATACAAAATATTAAATACCAATCTTGTCTTGCTATATTGTATACTGGTTAGTAGAACTGAAATAAAACTCAAAATAGTAACAATAAATATATTTATAAAAATGTGTATATAGATATATATGTATGAACAATTTACATATAAGGCAAAACTAAATAACAGTGGTAGTGGGTGGTGTAAATATACAATAGGACTTAATAGCCCCTCAACAAGCGAATAATCACTACCACTGGCCAAATAAAGTATAAAATATCAGTAAAAATTCAAGAATAGTCCGTATCATAGCCAAAGTCTTAACACAAAAAGGTAGTAATTTAAATTTAACTAGTTCGACTAAAATGAGATACAAATTACAATATTGTAAAGATATCAAACTTGATAAATCTATTACAATTATATTATATATTACAAGTGAGTTGTTCCATACTCATTATATCATATTTAAAAAAAACCACATGAAATTTATTTCCCTCCCCAATATCAAAATTGTATTATATCAAATGTATTGTATTAAAAAATATATTATAGCAAAAGTGAGTTTGGTCAGTACTCTTGAAATCCTAGTTAAAATCCCAATTTATTTCACCCCCCAATATCAAAATTAGATTATCACAAAGGTATTCACCTTATCATATGCATATGAAGAGTGTACACTGATAAATAGAAAGTAACAAAAAGTTAGAACAGTTAAACAACTTATCTTAAAATCACTATAAGTCCATAGGAAAACTCCTCTTGGCACGGCTAAATCAGTTTGTTGCTGTAAAGGACAAATCCCAGGTGAGTCTGGGCATAAACCAGTCACTGGTCTATCTGGAGTGACGGCAAAATCCAGGAGAGTTGCTAACTATTTAAAAAATTCTGTTACTATTGCTTGAGGGAATATTCTTAAGAGAATACTCTCAAGTGAAGTGACGGAATCTAAAAGAATTATCAGATTTAATTACTATTTTATTTAATACGTGTAGCAGCATAGATTAACTGCACCAAAACACAAACATTAAGACAACATTAGGTTAGGTCCAAAATGTAAAAATTTCCGAAGTTCATTTCGTAGACATGACAGGCTGAAATGAACACGCGCAGAACACAGAAGGCTGTAGAAACCTTGTATATTCCACCAAAAAAAGTTAGAGAAAAAAAAAGAACCAAAAAAAAACTTAATGATAACGACATGGACTAAAACAGAATTTAAGTTTAACTATATAAAAAATGACCTTCTGTTCTTTGCAAGTAAATCAAGCAAATTTTATATTTAAATTATTTCGGAACTCAAAAATAAATCTCTAAAGAAATACTTAACTGCAAGGATAAATTTGATTGTATGATAAAGAGATAATACGTATGAAATGATTTACTTACGTGGAGCCGCAGCACGCCAGAAAAAATCTTCCTTTTTATGTGTTTCTCTTATACATGAATCTTGATTTTAATAAATTGACTTATTATTATTTTTTGTATTTATGAATTATTTTATTCTTTTCCCAAATTATTTTCCTTGTTCCAATTCCGTCACTTTGAAGGTGAAAAAATTTCACCGGTTGGCGTGTCTGCGTAGTGAGTCTCTTGACCAAACTGATCGTTCTCGTACAGACTCGACCAATCTTCCTTTCTAAGCGACTACTGCGCGTGTGGGGAAAAATGTCCATTTAAAAATCGATCGCTGGCGGAACACAAGAAGTTTCTTGAGGGGTTTTAGTTGGACTAGTCAGTAGCGTAAACGCTACAATGCCTTCATTAGACACCCCCCCCCCTACCGATACGGAGTCATCTGTGGACTTTCTCACCAGACTGACATCCATAATCGAAGAAGCCTTTTTAAGGTACCCAGATGCAACCACCAAAATTGTAAGCGATCTCAACATTCTAAGGCCGCTCCTAAACCCTACCCTCCCTGCCACGGAGGACGAAAATGACTCCGATGGCTATGAGGACTTTCCTCCATTACCTACCATCGCAGAGGTAGCGACTCGGAAGCCACCACCGCACCAGCCACTTCTCCTGTCTCTCGGCTTAGGACCCGCTCCAGGTCAAAGAGAATCAGGAAATCCACTAAATCCGTCACCAAATCGAAAACCGCCTCCAACATAGCTTCTAAAGCTACAAAAACCCAAACTCCGACCAAGCCACCTACTCCAGCCACCACTCTAGCCGCCGCCGCCGCAAAACCCAAAAAACGGGTAACTATCGCAGCCACCATTGAGGTACCGTCTACCTCACGTGACAACCCACTGCCAAACAAAGCCATCGAGGCCATCGAGTTCTCAACATACCTGGAGCTTACGACACTCAACGTAAGCTTTACCAACTCGTAAACACCCAAGAACTTTTCAAGGGTGTAATGGTAAACCTTAAGTTTGTGCCGAAAGACCGTTTGGCATATCTAGAAACATCCAAAACCTTGAATGTGAAGGATATGTCAAGGGCGCTCCAGAACCGCACTGGCGACCCTGCTATCACAATTGAGCCTAAAAACTCATGACAGAAAACCAAGAAGCACCAACCAGAAACACAATCCCCTTTTCATCTCGTCATTACAGACGTAGACCAATCTACCTCCACCGAGGAACTCGGACTTTCCCTTTAACTCTCTTCACAGGATCGTCTCTAAGCGATTCGACAAACCAACCATGATGGTCCGCATGTTCCTCGACTCCGAGAAGTACTACACGGACGCTTTGATTAACGGCATCTGTATAGATGGCTTGATCAGGCCCTGTGAGGCTCCTCACAATCCAAACATAATCAAACCCACCGCCAAATACTGCAGCAGATGCTGTCAAAGCGGCTACGATATTTCCTAATGTAGGAAGCGACAGACGACTTGCCCGAATTGCGGTAGTCGCGAGCACAAAAGCGCCGAATGCTCCAACATCAAAAACCCAAAGTGCCCAAACTGCAAAGTCACACATTCAGCTTGGTCACCCAGATGCCCCAAAAGGCAAGAGACACCTTCCTCGCACCAAGAGGCTAAACCTCACACTACTGAGCGAAGGATTCCTCCTGCATCCTTAACAGCAGACGTCAGGTTGTGGATTCAATTCACAACCACTCTGCTGATGAACATCCTGCCAGATAGGAGAGAGACTATTGCCAAATACTCTTCTGACCAGTCGGGCAAAATGTTTGGGCACTCCATAGTGCTCACAGCTAGAAACAATAAGATCGAAATGACCTTTGTCCCCCTCCAGTAAGTCGCTATATTCAACTATGTAATAGGTACAGTCAACTGTGCGGGAGTCGGTCGAAAGAGAGCACGAATTAAACAACTCCTCTTCTCCCACAAAACACAAATCCTCTCACTCACCGACACCCGCCTTAAAACACCACCTAACTTCACAGGATACACAACCTACCACGTCAACAAAAGCCAGGCCAGTCATGGCAATGGTCTTTTAATTCATCACGCTATTCCTTCCACTACACATACACCTCCTCCCGACACCTTAGACCAACTCCGTGACACCGACTACCTGGCAGTTGACGTACACCTACAAGATAACACCAAGGTTACGATAATATCCTACTACAAGCATCCAAACACACCCCTTTCCTTACCTCTTGTCGAGTATTTTTCCACACTTGACAAGGCGGTACTAATGGGCGATCTTAACAGCAGGCACACTCAGTTTGGTGATTAAACCACAAATATTCCTGGCAGACAGCTCTCATGCCAATCTCCAGAATCACCAACCAAGAGGTCACGTTCTTCGGCCATCAGGGGATGTGTAATGTCGATCATATCTTATGCACGGATAGCCTGCTTGATCGAATCGACGATGAATGCTCCGTTGGTGACTCTATAACCTCTGAACATCTTCCTCTTCTAGTTAACACTGACTTCAATTCCTTACCACAAACAAAACCTGCCATCTACAGGATAAATTATCGTAAAGCAAATTGGGATCTTTTCCAAGAACACATCAACCAAAACCTCCCCGAGTTACGCAATATGTCAACACATAACCAAGTTGACACAGGGATTTCCAAAGTTGACAAATATCTTCAAGAAGATATTTGGAATAGCCCTGGCTATTCCAAAAACAAGGTACAATCCATATACTCCAACTCTTCCACCGCAAATTATCGCACAAATAAAATCCAAACGAAAAATGCTCAGAGAGTATAAAAGATTCAGAGACCCCCTCATCAAAACAGAATAAAATAGGCTCTCGGCGGTCATAAGGCTCGAAGTGAACAAGCTGAAACAAAAAGAGTGGATGCGAGTCACTTCTGAGCTCGACTACCGGGATGGCTCTGCATTCTGGAACAAACTCAAAGTCCTAACAAAACAAAAAAGTCAGCCACGATCACATCTCATTGTTAATAACGTCTTACTAAACAATCCACAAGATAACGCCGAAGCTTTTAAAAATACATTGCAGGCCACCCTCATTTCACCCAACAACCCCAACTTCTGCGAAAGATCCCAAAGAGCCACCGAACGGAGAATGAAAGATATATTCTACTACCCTCAGCCACTTGATGGGCCACATCCTCACCCGATGATGGACCTGTGACTGAGGACACCGTGTCATATGGCAATAATAAGGTTAAAACAGTTGGGAGTGTCATAATAAAATGTTTAATAAAAAATGCTGTCTATAATATAAAGTTTTTGTTGGTTGAGGAGGCTTCGGTGTCTATTTTGAGTCTAAATGCTTGTGTAAAACTAAATTTAGTACAAAAAATTTATTCTCTAAGATCACAGGGTGACGACAAAGAAAGTTTTGTTAAAAAAATATTGAAGTTTTTGAAGGAACAGGCAAAGTTCCTTTTCAGTATAAAATAATGCTTAAAAATGATTATAAACCATATATAAGTTCTTGTAGAGTTCCAGATACAGTAAAACCATTGTTAAAAAACACATTAGAAGACTTAGAACGTAGAGACATAATTTGTAGGTTGGATGAACCAACGGAGTGGGTTAGCAACATTGTAATTGTAGAGAAGCCTAATAAAAGTCTTAGAATTTGCTTAGATCCAATTCATTTAAATAATAACATATGTACAGAGCAATTTCCTATACCCACCGTAGAAGAGTTGTCATTGAAGTTACAAGGTAAGTCAATATTTACAGTATTAAACTTGAAAGAGGGTTTTTATCATGTCCCTCTTGACAAGGAAAGTATGAAGTACACTGCTTTTATCACACCTTTTGGAAAATTTTGTTTCAAGAGGTTGGCATTTGGTTTAAATATTAGTCCACAAGTATTTCAACGTATAAATGAAAAGATTTTTGGAGATTTAGATATTTGGATATATTTTGATGATCTTATTATTCCAGCATCTGATGAGGAAACACATGATTTAATTTTGTCAAAAGTGTTGCAAAGAGCTAAAAAATTTAGAGTAAAATTTAACAAAAATAAAATTCAATATAAAGTAAGGGAAGTAAAATAAGGTAAAAGCAAAAATGCCCGACAGTGAACCAAAGGACGACACTTTCGAAAAAAAACTCGTATAATAAGAATGTTTTTATTCTTAGACCAATAATATCTCTGACAGATACTCCTAGCGCCATCTGTGTCATGATGATGCAATAATACAATTAACTTCCTGCTTAAAATGGCAAACTAGATTCAGTTGTTGTTTACATGTGACAAAGTAAAGACGTTTGCCGCCATTTCTTGTTGCTTTGGTTAAGGACGCCGGAAAATTCAGAGGTACGTTTAAATCATTTTATTACGACGTTTTTGTTTCGGTTTTATTTTATTGTGAAGACTATGATATAATGTAAAGATTAGAATATTTTTTATCTTTTCTTAATTAAATTTTTGTAAAAGATTTGAGTGTCTAATATTGGTTCCAAAAATTGTCAGTATACCTAAAAGATGGCATCCATGTCTACTGTTGGTGTTACAACAAAATTCATTTCTAAGTTCAGGTGTGTACAATTATCAACACTTCTAGATTGCAAAAAAAATCTGTAAAAATTTCACCCATTTTAAAGCACTCCATCCAATAGTAGACAGGGTGTCAACTATTAGGGAGCACTTGATGTCGACTAGTGGTTCTGTTGTTTATTATGTTTTTATCCTCAGGCTGTTTGGTCAAGATGCCGCCTATAAAAGGGCAGATATTCCGCTACACTAAAGCAGACATGGAAGCAGCTATTCAGCAATGCAGGCGAGGTGTGCCAACTTCAACTGCAGCAAAAAAATTTGGTGTGCCTAGAGTAACTCTTCTGAACAAAGTAAAGGGCAAAAAAAAACAAGTAAAACGAAAAATGGGAAGAATGTGTTAAAATACAGAAGAATATGAAGCTATGCTTGTAAAATGGGCAAAGGCAATGGTTAAACAAGGATTCCCAATAAGGAAGGAAAATTTGCAAGATAGTGCCAAGAAAATGGTAGACGATCTAAATATTGAAGTTCCATTCAAAGGGGGTAGACCTGGATTCACGACAACCTCAAAATTTGACTTCATCCAGAGCTTTAATCACAACACCTCAATTGAAAAATTGGTTTGAAGAAGTCAACACCTACTTAAGGGATAACAACTAACTAAACTAAAGGTGAAAAGTCGGTGTACCAGCAAGTCAATACAGATGAAAAAGAATGCTATACTGTACTTTTAGGTGGAAATGCTGCAGGCAATGTTTTACCTCCTATGGTTAATTTCAAATATGAGACGATACCGAGAGAGCTAAGCATGTCAGTTCCGGAATATTGGGGTATTGGGTGCTCTGAAAATGGATGGATGACGATGGAAACCTTTTACGAATATATATGTAATATCCTTAATAAATGGCTAGATGATAATAATGTTCAAAGACCAGTCATACTTTTCATAAAAGGCCATACGTCACATCTTTCTTTTCATCTCGGCAAACTTTATTAGTAGCTCTTTTTCCTAATACCACACATTTACTGCAGCCCATTGATGTTGCTGTGTTCAAAAGTTTGAAGGGTGCCTGGAAAACTGCAGTTCACACTTGGCGTTTGGACAATATTGATAATCCTGTTGTGCGCAAAGTACAATTTTCTCCATTGTTGAAAAAAGTATTAGAACAAACATTATCACTTGATATATTCAAAAATGGTTTTCGTAAGTGTGGCCTCTTACCATGGAATCCCGATGAAGTGCAT